GTAAACGGCGTTTTTGGTCACTGAAAACTGAGATTTTTAAAAACTCCGGCCAGGGTGGATAATTTTGAAAACTAAGTTTTTGCATTTACGTGTGGACGAGAAAAACGGAGAAAACGCAGCGTCAAAGGTGTGCGCCTTTTTTGACGTCACACTGCGCGCCACGTTATTGTTTCGGTGAAATGAATTTCTACAATACTGTTAATTGTACTCTCTGCAGTGTTTAAATGCTTACATATAAAAACACAGTTACTGTCCCTCCACACATACGACTGGGTTCTGCTTCTATGCCCCAGCTTTGTTTACTTTTTCCCACCGAGGCTTCTAGACTTCTGATTGGCCAACAATTCTGCACAGTTAGGAATATATCGCCACCTGTTGCTTTGGCATGTTCCTAGCAGCGTTTTCCTTCATTTCTGCCTTTACGTGTGGACGGGATTATTTTTTAAAACGAAAACGGAAAATCTCCGTTTTCAAAAATACCCGTGTACGTGTGGACGTAGGCTAAAACTTGCAGGACACCGGCCCTCGAGGCCTGGAGTTTGACACCTGTGCTTTAAAAGATTACCACCTTTAATAATAATAAAGAAATGTCAAAGCGCTTTATAGCTTTCTGTGCTTTGCTTTTATTAAAAGATAAGGGGAACGACATTTCTTCTGACTTTGTCACTAAAGTAAAACCTATAGGAGAGAATAATGCTGACTTTAAACTCTGCTCTGTTCTATATTCTATTTGACTTATATTAGCTTTTACACAAGAATGACTCACACCTATCCACATACACACAGTAGATGAAAGGAAAAATAATCTCTCTACATCCACATTTTAGTCATGCATCCAGAGGCCAGGAAGCAATGCAACTTTCAGGTAATATGATATGTACGATAAAACGAGATTAGCTGCTCTCTTACTGGCAGCTGTTTCATTTATTCATCAGTTTGGTTAAAATGCTATGTATCATGCTTTTCCTTTTTTCTCTCATTGGATATTGTTATGCTGGATCTCCACAGTACACACAAAAATCAGCATTTGTGAAAGTAATCCCTGTGAGCCCAAATCTCAGACTTCATGCTACTCTCTTTCAGCCGCTCTGTTCTACTCTTGGCCCTGTATGTTGTCAGTATTAATCAGCCTTATGGTCACATCAGGCCCACAGCTCTGACTGAACACAAACTCCACCCACCTGCTGTTAGAACGTTTTGTTTACAAGGACTGAGAATTGTTTGAGATTCATTTTTTAATTTTCTTCCATTTTTAAGGCTAACGTTTTCCACCTAATGTCCAACTTTCTGTTTGAATTTGGTATTCGGCTTTTGCTTGGCTGTCACAGCACTTTGTAAACTCTGCATTTACAGGTGCTACACATATTAAGTTTTTATTGTTAAAGGGCGGAGGAAGCAAGTTAAAAGAGCTCGTCTCAGCTGAGAGGTTACGCCCACTAATGTCCAGCAGAAGGTAAACAAGGAGGATCTGGAACTATGAATCACACAAAGCTACTCTGAGTTAAGAATAGAAGCATGAAGCTGGAAATTAGCATAACAGGTTCCCTCTAGGGTTGTTGAAGCAGACAAACATTGGAAACAGGACAAATCGTTAACCTGCACACGGTCTACATATTAAACAGAGAATAATATGTTCTCTTTGTCATGAAAATATCCTGACATATAACGCGTCCCTGACAATGCCCCCAGGAGACGTCTAAGCACTGTCTGCGAAACATTGTCTGTTGAGTGATGAGTCATTTCTTAATGTGTCAGGATACCAAAATAAGGTTCTGTTTTTAGCTCAACCACTGCTTAGAAACATTAAGGTGGAAAGCCCCACTACTTCCTCGTCTTCGACAACAAAGTTGTTTGAGCTGGCAAAGGTAAATGAAAACAGGTGCGCCAACAGCTACACAGACATAAGCCTGGAATCGGACCAACCTCATTTGTAATATCATAGACCACGATGGCTGCCTGTGCACCTCTGTAGTACATGGGAGCCAGACTGTGGTAGCGCTCCTGACCGGCCGTGTCCCAGATCTCAAACTTGACCGTTGTGTCGTCCAAACATACCGTCTGAGTCAGGAAGGCAGCTGCAGGGGTACAAAGCAGACGGACCAGTGACAAGTGGGTCTTTAAATACTGAGCTACACAAATGTGTTTCAGTCAAGGTGACATGGCCCAATGTTGGAAACCAAAGGAATGACCTTAAACATCCAAAATCAAAATGGGTGTGATTTGCTCAAAGGCACTTTTAAACCACATGTTAAACCTTCGTTTGAAAACTATGCTCCGTTTTAACTGAAATGAGAACTGTGAATAACACTTAAATGTTGTTTTTACCCAATCAGCTAATGCCAGCAGACCACTGACTGTAAAGGACTTTTTTTTTTATCTTAACACACACCCTTGGACACAGACTAGTAGTGGTGGAATGGCAGGATGATTGGAATATTTTCAGTAGTGAGTACAGTAAAGGTGTCACCTGGCGCTGAGGGTGAGATTATCAAGATAACCAAAACGCAGTAACCTAATGGACCAAATTATTTGCATAGCTGCCTGTTCTAATAAGGCATTTTTATATTGACAATTCCTCATATCCCCCCTTTTCCCAACTGAATCTCATACTGGCTACATGCTCTTTTGAGGAGTTCCAGTTTCCCCTGGTGATACTTTCTCTGTTTTACTCCAACACACCTTTATGATTCTATAGCCTTACTTCTTCAATGAACTTTAGGCTCTGGGACTATGACTCTTAGTACAGCTATCTGCATGTAGCCGTTATGTTGTCTAGCGTAACATTTAGTAAATATTCCATTATGTGGTTTACTGGAAGTCTCAGAGATGGCCTGTTCATGGAGCAAAAACAAACACGCCAACACTGACTTATGATGACGTCAGGATTACGTACCTCCAATTGTGCTCTCTTGGAATTCATGAAACTGACCCTTAACGAAACGAAGTACAAGGCTTGACTTTCCCACCGCGGACTCTCCTAAAAGCACGAGTTTGAACTGGCAAATCTTGTTGCCTGCGTTTGGCCCATTGGGTCGCGTGGCTCCGCCTCTACTTGCCATGTCACACTGTCTGGTCTCGTCCCCGGGATGTGAAAAACTGTAGAAAAACACCTGAGCAGGAGAAAGAAAATAAAGCAAGGTGTCATTATAAAAGAATATCTTATTAACTGATACAAAAATTAAAGATAATAAGAAATTATGTAGTAATTTTGCCTTTGCGAAACATTTAGTCCCTGCAACAACCAAAGTGACAGTTCAGGGTTTTTCCTGTATTTAATACACTTTGGGGAGAGGACAAAATCTCTGGAGGCCACCAAAGTAAAATAAAAGAAACAAAAAAAGAAAAAAGGAAATGCATCCCCCTGGTTAAGTAATGTAACATGCTCATTTTATCAATACACAGACCAACTGTCAACCCTAAAAAGGCAGATTGTGAACCAGGACAAACCCTGCAATTGATCAGTGTTTTAAATTATTCAGCTTTAGCCTTTTGTTAATGACCCACACCACTATTCCTAAATCTAAAAATACCACTTTTAGAACTCTTCATAAAAAGCTCCTGGAAACTACTTTTTTAAATGCATAGAGATGCGTATAGAGCTGCGTATCAGGGCAATTGATATTTAATCTGTTAAATTTTATAATGTTGTTTTAACTATATTTCTTTTAAAATAAGAAGTCCAAATACAAAGGCAAAATGTCAGGGCTAATCCCGTAAACACGAATGGAAACTTACTATAGTTTGGTACAAATTGACACATTACACATAATTTCAAATTACCTGACTCTCACTCAGCTACAAACATTAGTTGGATGTCCGCTATAGTAACAAGCAGCAATAAGAGATTTAAAGAGAGAGAGAGAGAGAAAACTTTGCCTGACAGCATGTTCAAAGTTTCGGAAACTGATGTCATACATATATTTATACTTGTGCCTCTAACGTTATTACCCTGTACCAGTTCAACAACAATTACAAATGGCAAGTTCAACTACTGTTCTGGCAGTGAAAACCCCAACACTCACACACAAACAACGTGTGTGTGTGTGGCTTCAACTACGTGAGGCAGACAGAAAGAGGATTATAGCACCAGTCTGGACACATGTGTGGGGAAAAGTATTTGGGTTAATTTAGTGGTTTTGTTGTTTGTCTTTCATGATTTTGTAGTCAAACAAACAACAGCCACAACAACAGATTAGCTCTGTAACCTAGACATTAACCATTTCCACCATCAAACTAAACACAGAACATCGCTCCAAAAATAATTGCTGTCAACTTCGAGCGTCGAAATCGCGTTACGACACAGAGATCACCACAAATAACCTGTTGTGTTGTTGCCGAGTGGATCGTTTTAGTTGGTAGCAACTGCTAGCGTTAGCAACATAGCTAGCTCCTAAGTTCAAAATGCCTAGTCCAAAACCCAATCTGCGTTTGTTATAAAGCATGATTTCGCTTGATTAACGCTGGCGTGAGTGCGGGTAGCAGCATACCAATCAAGCTTACACGCACTAAATATGACACTTACATAAGTTCTGAAAATGCTCAAACTCAGATGATGGAGATTTGGGTGTGTACAGCTAGTGACAGCTAGCTAACGTTAGCTCCATGACGGTGAATTAGTGAAGTAGCTTATCAAGCAGCGTTTGAAAGAGGACTGCAACTGTTTGTGATAGTAAAAGTGGATTAATGCTAATGTGTGGGTGATCTAAACGTGATGATACCTCCAGATTTATCAGCAGAACAACGTTAACTAGGCTAAGTTGTACGGCCCCTCCAGTGTCGGCTAGCTAATGTTAGCTAGCCAAATAATAGGTACTGGGCAGGCTAACGTTGTTCAGCTGCGGCCGCATCGGGAGGAGCCCTCCAGATAGCCTACAGCTAGTCAGCTAAAGCTAATATTAGCTACTTACCTATCAAAAACAGGAGCGTAGTTAATGGTAAAGGTATCTCCAGGACAGTATTTGCAGTACTTCAACGTATGTTCACAGTGTGTCGAGTATCCAACCAGCTGCTGTAACGTTAGATTTCATAAGGCTCTGCGATCTCGCTCTCCCACTTCTTTCAACTTCCCTTTTCGCATTGTACGAAGGATGATGACAGATCGTATGACTGGAATTCACAATCCGCCTGCGTATCAGGGTGGCCAACCAATCACACGCCAGCATTTATACCAAATTTATTGAAATATGTCTGTCTCCAAAATAACAAAAGAGAGTATTTACATTTTTTTTTTTTTTATCTTTAAGCTAGTGAGCTAAAAGCAGGGATTGCGGTTCAAGGTTAATGCCACTGACTCAAAGCAATAAATACATTAGACAATGTGTTTTATTTTGGACAAGTTAGTCATTCACATGGTCTCCCCATTGGTTATCACAATCTTTGATTCGCTTGAAAGGTATTTTAAACCAAACTACAGTATTAAGTTGAATTGCTGAACTATGTTGCTAGGCAACGGTACTTAAACAGGTGCACAGCTCTGCGTCCGAGCACGACAGAAACCCGTTTGGCCTTAAAAACTTCCCATACCTAGTTAGAGACAAACTTTACAGACAAACGTTACAAAGGCTACATCTAAATTCATTATGACTGACATTAACACGTCTAGCGAAGTGAAATGTACTGACAGAATCCGAAATATACCGAAGGTAAGTCTATTTTAAGATAGCTTATCCTGTGCTATCGTACTGCTATTGTATTGTTTTAGTAAAATAGACCTTTATTTCCCTAATATTAACCATACTGAACTTTTTTTTTTTCTTTAATGCAGGCCGGGAAACTAATACCTCCAGGAGACAGTGTCAAAATCTGCTTACGAGAAGTGGAAAGAGTGAGTTCATTTTTATGTGTTTAGACATGGCATTCAGAGCATCCGGAAGTGGGGATAATTATGGGAAAGTATAACTTCCAAGTGACCCCCCCCCGAAAAATCACTTGAAGCTCTTTGGACGTCTCTATCTATTATCTCAATTTAAAACAGTTGTTTTACCTCTGTTGGGATTATTAATCTGATTTTTTTTTTTAGACAAAATGTGTGAAATTGTGGGTTAACTCTTTCCCTGCAATTTTCAGCCCACGACTCCACCGGTGGTGAGGAAATTCCGCAATAGCAACCAGCCCGGACCAGGAACTATCAGAGTCCACATAGGGAAGGCAAATGACCCAGATGTTGGCAGCACTCTTGTTCATGGTGTCATCACCAAAGCACCCCTCACTGTGAGTATGAGCTTCCTGGGATTGTTAAAGAGACAACAGGGAAGGTTTTTAACTAAACTGAAAATTGATAGATTGATATTTTGTTTAGATCATGACCAATGACTCATGTATTGCTCTGCTTGGTAGTGGATTTAAGGCTCATATAACTTAAATGGAATTGACACAATAAATGAAATGGTATTTATATAGTGCAGAAAATTAAATATAATATAGTATATAAAATTTTCTGGACACACTGTATATTTTTTATTCCATATATATGGAATTTATTTATTGTGTTTTGTTTATACTGCTGTACATCTTTGATGTATGGTAGTACTACAATTTCCTTCACTATTTTACAAAGTATGACTGTGCAATCACAATAAAAAGTTACACTTGAACTAGCATATGTCTGTGAAGGTTCTCAGTCATCCAGGTCATCGTAGTCAAAAGAGCTTGCAAAGAAAAGCGTCTGGACTTCTTTAAGTTGCTTGAAGACGTTTCACCTCTCATCCGATCCTGGGGGGATACTCCCACTAGGTTTAAATCTGGGACTCCCCACCATTTGACCCTTAGAACTGAAGAAGCTTCTCGGATGAGAGGTGAAACGTCTTCAAGCAACTCAAAGAAGCCCAGACACTTTTCTTTCCAAGCTCCTTAGACTACAATGACCTGGATGACTGAGAACCTTCACACACATACATACAGTATCTGTGTTTTGGGATGCTCTTTTGGACTTGAGCACATATCAACTGAGATTGATAATGATCAACAAAATATTAGGGATGGAAAATATTAATGTAGGATTACTTAGAAAATGATCAACAACACTTGAAAAAGCACTGGCTCACTACTTACTGTCTTTGTCGTAGATTGAAAAAGCCTAATATTGGACCTTCTCTTCCATTTTCGTTCTTTTCTGACCTGCCTGTGTGCACATGGCACTAGAGGCGAAGCGGTGCAAGAGGATGTATTTGTACGTTTGTATGTTGGAAGTAAAAACGACCTACCCCTGTCAGGCATTTATTGTACTGCGGTATTATAGTGGTTTTCCTAAGTAAGTCATTTGCTTTTTTCATGATTTTATGTTACCTCTCAAATGGAATTTTCCTAAGAAGCTGACATTGATGATGGTTTTTCTATTTGCTTTCTGGAGTTTTCTCTGTATTCACATCTGTTTTGTGATGTCACCGTGTTTGGAAGCTGGTGCACAATGTTGCTTTGAATAGAAAATTTAAAGTATACAATGACACATTTAGAATACTGACCGACAATAATTGTTTTACATCATTCCTACAGGGTGAAAGCTGGCTAAATCCATCCCCAAAGACCTTGTTCCAGCAGAAGTTACAAGAGCTAAGTGAATCTGTATATGCCTCAAATAAGAAGGCTCCTCTAGGCAGATCATGTGTCCAACGTTCTGAACTCCCCCCATTGTGTAATGAGAAAACTACATTTGGCATAAAAACAGTAAAAGGTATGTATAACATTAAATAAGTCAAAAGCTAATAAAACAACAAGAAAGTTGGTTTAACCTCCTAAGACCCGAAACTCATGGCATGCATTTTTAATTTCTCTTTGCTATTTGAGCTGTTTGGGACCTGATGAATGTAAAAACAAAGGATTACGTGATTTTATTTTATTTTTTTACCTGAGTTTTGTTTCTAAGAAAAATGAGATCCACATATGAGGACATTCGCTTTAAATTTTGATAGAACAGTGGCAGTATAACGTCCTTGTAAGTGGATATCGGGCCCTTGTAGGGCAAAATTTAGTATTTTGGTCTAGACAACCCAAAATGTGATATCCACATATGTGGACGCCAGGTCCCAGGAGGCTAAGTTTGTAATGGTTGTGTGCTGTCATTGAAACATTTTAAAACTTTTACATTTTTTGTTTTACATTCTAAGTTTTCTTATATTTATATATTTTTCTTATATTTCTTTATATTTCTTATATTTTCTGAATATCTCCCGTTCCTTTCATCAAGGTTTGGGTGTGCGTGACATTATAAACCCTGCAAAAACAGCACAGGAGATAGAGAGGGAAGCTGGGGTGGCACATGATGCTTACATCCGTAGCCATAATGCCTATTTTGTTGGTAAGAATGAAGAAAATCATACTATTGATGCTGTCTTTACTCTTTCCACTAACAGTCTATTTCTGGAATTCATTTCATCATTTTCACCACTGTGTGATTATCTTACTTCATTCCAGGTGAACAAATTAATAGAAATTATGACTGGACTCGTTACAGTAAAGACAGCAGGTTTGGGATCCTCACACCTCATTTCAACGATGGCCGTAATCTTGGCAAAACCCTTCATTGGCTGGGTGAATCACAGAAGTAAGCACCGAAATAAAGTGGCCATGCAGCAAATTCTTTTGTTTTTAATTTCCTTAACACTGCATATCTGCTCCTTGTCCTTCTAATTTAAAAAGTGAAAGCCAACTCGAATTGTTCATATTTTTTTCTTAGGTTTTACAATCCAGCTGCTTGGAAGAGATCTGGGAACAGAGAGAAGATAGCACAACAAATGGGCAAAACCATCGTCAAGTGCTTTTCTTTTTTTTTAACTGTCTGTAATGAAACATATGAGACCTGTAATTATCTCACTAAGATTTTATTTAATTTCCCATTTCTTTTCATGTTCTTCAGGAGAGAAAAAACATTGCCCGTTCCGCCTGATCACACGTTTGGAATGGTCTTACCACCGGATGATTTTGGTCAATTTTGTTTAAAAATGTTCTCCCGCCTTACACACGGGAATATTTGGTGTGTCCTTAGAAAAAGCTTTTTCAGTTGAAGACAACAAATACTTCCTTTGCAGGCATTGGAGAGCTGATCTACTCCACAGATCCACGGCAGTACGCGAGAGGCCCAGACAGACAGCGCAGCCTGGTGAATGCAGTGAGGCATCACCTCAAGAAGGTCAACTTTGAAAACCTCCCCTCCTTGCTAAAGGCATTCAGACATTATGACAAGGTATGAATAGACTCACAACAGGTTGCCAACTTGTGTTTGATAAGTCAAAGTGCTGGTAGTAAGGAAGTCAAGCTGTTGGTTTTAAGATAAAGCCAGTGATGTGTGACTCTGTGGTAAGATGATTTTTAAAGTAATAGAGCTTTAATTCTCATTTTGCAGACTTGTGTCACACTTCTAAACACATACCGAAGTCGGTATGGGTTCAAAGGGTTGTTATTTACGAAACTAGAAACCAGTACCAAATATTTTGCCCATTGCCTGTCACGGTCCTGGGTCAGTGACCCAGTGTTTTGAGTTTCTTGTGCCTCTGAGTTTTTTGTATTATGTTCTTAGTTCTCTTTGTTGTCCCAG